TATTAATTTTATTACATTGTTGTTGTTAGGTGCTATTGAGTCGTCGATGACTCATAGCGACACTGTGAATGGAAGACCTGAGCACTGTTCATAGAGTTTCTGGAGGCAAGCCATTTCGGAAGTGGATGCCACTCCTGCTTCCAAGCTTATACATTGTATTGTATTGTATTATTATATATATACACATTATACACATATATACACATTATACACATACATACACATTATACACATATATACACATATTCTAGAAGCAGGAGTGGCCTCCACTTCCTAAACAACATGCCTCTGGAAACCCTATGAACTGTGATAAATGTCGACGGTTGTAGAGGGGCTTCAGGCCTTTTGTTCAAGGGTCGCTATGCGTTGCATTCCACTCAAAGGCAACCAACAACAACAATATACACCTATACAGAGGCATCTATAGATACGTCTGCATTTCAAATCCACCAGCTGCTCCGTGGGAGAAGGACGGGCATTCTCCTCCCATGCCATTTCACCACCTCTGAAAACCCACTGGAAGGGAGCTCTGGTGTCCTAGTGGCAAGACGCTGCACTGCAATCCCAGAGGTATGCGGTTCAAATCCACTAGATGCTCTGCTGGAGAAGGAGGGGGCAATCTCCTCCTGTACCACTCAGATATGATTTGACGGTACACGTAAAAAATAATACAATAAAAATAATATTAAAAAAACCCAAAACCCAATGGAGGGTCAGTCACAGGTCAGTTCCGCCTCGACGGCCCACCATAAGCACAAGGCGGTCTGGTGGCTTTATCTACGGGGAGCTGCACTGGTACCCCAAAATCCACCAGCTGCTGCATGGGAGAAAGACGGGCAGTCTCTTCTCATGAGGTTTTCTGTTGCTGTTGTTCAATGCCACCAAGTTGACTACGGTTCATGGTGACTCTCTGAACGACAGATCCGACCTGCCCCCTCCTGCCCCCTCTCACCGTCTCCGATAGGCTCCCTCCCACTGATGCGGTCTCTGTGTCCATCTGTTTTGTTAGGACCCCTCCTCTCTTTCTCTGACCTTCCATCTTTCTCTCCAGGAGGTCCTCTTCCAAGGACAACATTCTCACAACAGGTCAAAGCTTCTGAGGCAAAATGTCACCATCCTGGCCTCGAAGGGGCATGACGCCGCTTGACCCTCCTCCAAGACAGACTGGAGATTCACTACCTTGCAAATGCACCCAACGGAGGAACAGTTATGAGGCGGTAACAGCCCATGGCCTTGAGTTCTGTGTACATATCAACAGATGAAGTTGGGGGGGGAGCATTTTGAAATCTAAGAGTCCTGGCCGTGTCTGTACTGCTGTCACAGCCTGGCTTTCAGGAGAATAATGATGAGAATTCTCAATCTGTGGCCGGATTCGTTAAAGGCTGATTCCTACAAGGCGGCGGCCAGACAGACCTCTGCTCTGCAAACGGGAACCAGTTCCAACACATGCTCTCCCTCCTCCAGCGCGATGAACTTCACATCCAGGTTTGCTAATCCGCTGAACTCACAGACCATCATTGTAGATAAGTGGCTTACTGGAGACCAGGGTGCAGCCTGAGGTCAGGGTGAACAGGCTACCACATAGGAGGAGATCAAGACGCGTGCAGGCAACCTCTCTTTGTCTCTGGTGGGTCAGCCCTCTCAGGTCCTGACCTCAGCCCTCTTAGGACAGGTCTCCGTTTGATGCCCTCAGCTGGTTCCTCTCAGTGCTGTATGTACTGGCTTTGCCCCTGGTCCTGGTGGACTGCAACCTCTGATGCACGGCCTGCTCGGGACCTCTTTACATCTTCAGCACTCAATTCTGTCACTGTGTCACCTCTTTAAGGACTTCCTTGCCTTCCCTCTCTCTGATTTCTTCATTCTTCTTCCCGTTTCTCTTTTGGCTTCTTCCTGGATGAAAATCGCCCTCTGCAGGGCTGGTGGCTTCTCTCTTCTTCTTCTTTTTTTTTTTTATTGTTATTATTTTGTGTGTGTGTGTGTGTGTGTGTGTGTGTGTGCGCGCGCGCGCCGTCAAATCAGATCTGACTGGTACAGGAGGAAATTATCCCTCCTTTCCAGGCAGAGCATCTGGTGGATTCGAACCATGCGCCTCTGGGATTGCAGTGCAGCTTCTTGCCACTAGGCCACCAGAGCTCCCCTCTGCTTCTTTCTTCAACGTCATCAATATCCCAGCGTGATGATCACGTGGCTTATCCTCTCGTGGACCTCAGACACTCCACTGGGACAGACAGGAAGGACGCCTGGGCTACAGCACTGTTGCAGCGTCGGCCATAGACCAGAGTCTACAGCCCGACTCTAGAAAGATCTATGATGATCCCAGGGTCGGCTGTGGCCCAGGGCCAGGCAGGAAGGAACACACCAGGCTGTTTCCATCTGCCTCAGGAAATGCAAACCAACCTGGACAGAAATAACAAACCGCCTAGAGCAGCAAACCAGAGCAAAGGGAACTCCTCAAGGCTTGGAGCTGTGGTGCTGGAGAAGAGTGCTGAAAAGCCCACTGGCTGTCAAGAGAACAGACAGTCATGTCCTGGAGAAAGTGCAGCCAGAATGCACTTGAATCTCACTGGGGGTCAGTGATACGTCAGTTTCCACTCCAACAGCAACGAGCTGAGTTGAGCCCCTGTACAGCACCCACTACCTCTCTGCTCTGGCTTGGATCAATGGTCGCAATGGCCACACAGAACTCACAGAGAAGACTCACAATTAAGAGACTTACTAGGTAAACATCTTAGCCTTTTTTTCTTTTTAACATATTAGGTTTTAACCTAACATTCTTGCTCTTGGGATTTTGGAAAGGTCCTTGGCAGTAGACCACCCAAGTGTAACACAACTTTTGATTTCTTGACTGCTTCTACCATGGGTGTTTGAGGGTGGATGCAAATGAAAGGAAACTGTTAGCGACTTGAAACTTTTCTCCAAAGAGCAAGGATGTCAGTTTAAAGACTGAGGTGCATCTGATCCACTATTTCCTGAGAACTAACTCAGTTCTACAGGGATAAATATCTTATAAAACCATTATTGTAGAATGAGTATAAGGATCCAGGAGGGGTGGGAGAGGCTGGAAGCAGAGGAATGTGGATGTGCAGGGGGAGGTGGGAATTAATCATTGGGTTGTACAATTTGATGGGGGGGGCGAGAGAAATTGAAAGAATTTATTCGAATTTGTATTAGAATTTTATAAATAAACTAGTGAGGAAAAAACCCCCAAACAATAATCAGAGAGGCATCAAGGAAATAAGGTGACATAATAATGTCGGAGCTTGTGGTGTTTTACAGGCCTCTATAAAATACATTAATAAGTAAAACAAAGTATATATAAAAAAAAAAATCACCTGAGCTTTCACCATGTTCTTCTGCTCAGCAACTAAGATGCTCCGTCTTTCTGGAGGAAGGCCAAGGTTGGCTCTGAAATCTCAGTCTCTCGAGGAGGGTGTCCCCAGCAATGACAACACTGAGACAACCTCTTTAAAGCAGTTCTGCTGCTGGGACTCTGGCTTCAGGACCTGCAGGTTGAAGGGAAAATTCACTGGTGAGTAACCCCATCACCTCTGAGCGCAGAGGCAGTCACTGCTCTTACAACAGTCACGGATTACTGTTAACACAAGCCCACTCCCCAATTCTAGATACTTCTGATGAATACTGGATTCCTCTGATGATCCCCTTGGGGGCCTCTGAATCGTGGTGCTGGAGAGGATTCTAGAACAGCCCACACACGGCCCAAGGAACAGACGTGTCTTGGAAGCATTGAAACCAAGGTGCACGTTAGCGGCAAGGACGGTAAAGCTTCATCGCACAGACTTTGTGGACGGTGTCAGGAGGGGCTGGTCCTTAGGAAAAGACATCATGCTTGGAAAGGCGGAGGGTCAGAGGAAGACCCTGAACAACAGAGACCCCCACACAGGGGACACTGTGGAGATGGTGCAGGTTACGGGAAGGGTCTGCTCTGTCTTTCACAGGGTCCCTTACCTGTCTAAAAGACTTGTTGGAGTGTCAAGACAACATCCCTTTGTTTGGCGAATCAGAACATTTTATTCCTAGAAGCAACGTGAACCCCAAGATTCAGAATTTGCAGAGATGTGGATCAAAGATGTCTGGAGCTAGAAAAAAAAATCAGAGAGAAAGAAATAGATAAGGGAGCTCTGGTGGCCCTGTGTCAAAGAAGCTCCAGCGCAATCCTGATGGTACACGGTTTGAGACCACCAGATGCTCTGCTGGAGAAGAAGGGGCAATTTCCTCCTGAGTCAGTCGGATCC